AATTCCAAAAAAAATTGTGCTGTGTTTCCTTATAAGCGTAGAATTATCCCATTTATTGTTTAAGCCGATTTCTGACAGTTTATTTGAAAACTTCTGCTTATGGTAATAGACGGAGGTTGTTGATTTTCTGCCAAACTAGCGGACAGATGTTACGACCAGAATTCAACTAGTCACCAAAAGACAGCATGAAGACAAGTGTCTCTCAATCACATATTGAAGGCTAGACGGGAGAACTAGTTTCGAATGAACCACTCACTTAGAACCTCACTATTTTGAGGCTGAAGTCGTCTCGTCATAAACTTGTTGAATCGACCGATATGAAGTGGCGTTTTGTGAAACTTCACTTAGTGTCACAAAGAAGACCAAGCAGTTACGAGCAATTAGATTGACAAATTGGCTCACAGCAGGAGACTGACAGGTGAGATTCGTTCACAGCCGCCTCCCACAAGGTAGCTTTGTCAGCGTTGATAATTTTGATGACTTCCAATTCACCTGTGAATGCTGCCGTCTCTGCTGTCTCGACAGGTGAATTTCTAGGTGTTCCACAAAAGTGTTTGGATGATGTGGCAACCGGTGAATCCGACGCAACCTACATCTATCTCTACTTAACCGATTTTCCACAAAAGTGTTTGGATGATGTGGCAATCCGACGCAACCTACATCTATCTCTAGTTAACCGATCGGCGAATTCCGATTTCCGTTGTCTCTACAGTCGTGTCTTACCAAAAGATAGAAAACATGACAGATAGGTTTACGTCATGTTTTACTTCGGAAAACTATCAGCGTCTACCAGACGATAGGTTTATACTTCTTTTCATGCTCATATACGGTTTCATTTGGTCTATTATGAGATGAGGGTTTTTTCCACATCCATACTTTGTGAAGATAATCTATCAAAAACCGCTTCAGTAAAACCTTCTAGGCATCCCGAAATCTGCCAAATCCAGTTGTTTCAAGTAGCGTTCAAACTTTGGCGTAGAATCCGAAGAGCGGAACACCTCGCGGGACTTGTCCTCATACTGAGTTCTGCAACTTTAGGTATTTTGTCAATAAATCACTTTCAGAATGAGAAAGTATGGTGAAAATTTTGTTCCTCCGGATGTGAGTGACACGTTGAATGGTTATTTCATATTTTCAGGGTCTGAGCGGAAACTCATGTAACAGGAGTGAACTGAAAAAACGTCACACT